GCCTCACCAGAGAGCTAGGATTACAGGTGTGAGCCATGCACCCGCCGCTTGGCGTTTTCTAGGTATAATATAAATGTCATCAATAAAGAGTGAGAGTTTGATCTCTTCTGCTCCCATTTGGACCCCTTAATTCTGCTCTCTTGTCTGATTGCTGTAGCAAGGACTTCCAGCACTATGTTGAATAGAAGTGGAGATGGTGGGCAACCTTGCATTGTTCCATTTCTAAGTGAGAATGCTTTCAATTTTCCCATTCAGTATGATATTGGCTGTGGTTTGTCATATATGGCTTGTATCATTTTTAGGTAAGCCCCGTCTATGCCTATTTTGTTGAGCGTCTTATCATAAAAGAGTGTTGAATTTGTCAAATGCTTTTTCTGTGTCTATTGAGAGGATCATATGGTCTTTGTTTTTGATTCTGTTATATGGTGAATTACATTTATAGATTTGTGTATGTTGAAACATCCCGGCATCCCTGGGATGAGCCACTTGGATGTGATGGATTATTTCTTGACAAGCACCTGAATTCTATTGGCTAGATTTTGTTTAAATTTTGCATCTATATTCATAAGGATATTGGTCTGTAGTTTTCTTTTTTTGTGCATCCTTTCCTGGTTTTGGTATCAGGGTTATGTTCGCTTCATAAAATGTGTTGGTGAGTATTCCATCCTTCTCAATGTTTGTGGAATAATTTCTGCAGGATAGGCACCAGTTCTTTTGTAGGTATGGTAAAATTTGGGGTGAAACTATCTGGTCCAGGACTTTTCTTTTTAGGAAGGTTTAATTGCTGTTTAAATTCAGTACTTGATATTGTTCTGTTCAGGAATTCTGTTTTTCCTGGTTGAGCCTAGGAGGCTGTTGTTTTAGATTGTTCATTTCCTCACATTTCCAGTTTGTGCGCATAGAGGTTTTGTAGTATTCATGAATATCTTGTATCTCCGTGGCATCCATGTAAATTCTCCTTTATTGTTCCTGATGGAGCTTATTAGAGATTTCCTTTTCTGCTTTTCGTCTAGCCAAGGGTGTGTCAATTTTGTTTATTTTTCAAAGAACAACTTTTTGTTGTAATCTTCTGTATGTGTTTCCCTGTTGTCAATTTCATTTAGTTCTGATTTGATCTTAATAATTTCACTTCTGCTGAGTTTAGAGTTGGTCTGTTATTCTTTTTCTAGTTCTTTGAGACGATTCATTAGGTTGTCTATTTGTGATCTTTTCAACTTTTGGATATAAGCATTTATGGAAATAAACTTACAGGACTGTTAGCTTGTCGCCACAGGTTTGATAACTTGTGTCTCCTTTGTCATTAGTTCAAACAATCTTTTGATTTCCATCTTTTTTAAAAAAAAAATAATACTTTTATTTCTTTTTCTCCTTTTTTATTTCCTTTCTTCCTCCAAGGGCACATCAAAAGAATGAGATGATTTCCTCTGATTTGTGATCATTCAGCAGAAGGTTGTTTAGTTTCCATGACTTTGTGTAGAAATGAGAGTTCCTGTTAGGGTTGATTTCTACATATTACATTGTGGTCTGAAAAGGTACATGATATGATTCTATTTTTTTAATTTTTGAGACTGTTGTGCCTAGATATGGTCGATCTTAGAGAATCCCTGAGCCGATGAGAAAGAATGTATTTCAGTGGTGTGGGGTAGATTGTCCTGTAATGTCAGTCAGGCCCATTTGTTCTGGAGTTCCGTTTAAGTCCATATATTCTTTGTCGATTTTCGTGTTGAGGATCTGTCCTGTGCATCAGTGGGTGTTAAAGTCTCCGACTATTATGACGTTGTTGTTTTATTCATTTGTTTAGTCAAGTAGAGTTTGCTTTATGAATCTGGCACACCTAGGTTGGATTCATATATATTTTAGAATTATTACGTCTTCTTGTTGAACTGTACCCTTCACCATTATATAGTGACTTTCTTCGTCTTTTATTACTTTTTGTTGATTAAAAACTAAGTTATAGGCGGGCGCTGTGGCTCACGCCTGTAATCTAGCTCTTGGGAGGCCGAGGCGGGCGGATTGCTCAAGGTCAGGAGTTCAAAACCAGCCTGAGCAAGACCCGTGTCTCTACTATAAAAATAGAAAGAAATTAATTGGCCAACTGATATAATCTATCAGGCTGGTTTTGAACTCCTGACCTTGAGCAATCCGCCTGCCTCGGCCTCCCAAGAGCTAGGATTACAGGCGTGAGCCACAGCGCCCGGCCGGGAATGCTTTTTTAAAGCTTGCTGTTTTTTGATTCTTTTGCTTCCAACCTTTATATTTAAAATGTATCTCTGGCAGACAGCATATTTAGTGGGGTCCTCTCTGGCCTGAAATTCTGCATATATACATATTTTTAAAGTATAAACTATTATATAATTTGGTGTTTTTACTTTTTTTGTGTGATAGAGTCTTGCTCTGTTACCCTGGTAGAGTGCAGTGGCATCATCTTAGCTCACTTTAACCTCAAACTGGGCTTAAGTAATTGGGTCTTTTTTTGTATTTTATCTTTTAGGTATATTACAGTCTGTATCTTTTACGTGGGGGTGTTTAGTTCTTTTACTTTTAATGTAATTATCAGTGTGAATGAATGTAAGTTGATTTTTAGTATTTTTCATCAGCCCCTTTTTGTTTATCTGTTACTCCTTTCCTGCTTTCTTTTGGGTTATTTGAAATTTTTTTAGTGTTTTGTTTTTTTTACTGGCTTCTTAGTTGTACGTATTTTTATTTTCTTTTTTAGTGATTGCTCTAGTGCTTTCATTGCATCTTTAATTTACTAAAGTCAGTATTATACTTCTTCTTCACACTTTCCTAGTGTTAAGTCACACTTAAAAAAATTTTTTTTTGACTTTTCACTACTTCTGTCACTATTTTCTGTTGGTGGTTCTTTCTAGTTTGAAAGCTTAACAGAAAGTTCCCTGCGTGAGTTACAATGAAATGAGTAGAGTCTTGGTCAGAAAATAGTTTAAATCAGTGAGAAGAAGCATCTGGGAACTGAAGTAGGGGGTTTGTACTCTTCCATCTTTTGCCGTGCAGGACTTAAATTCTTTTTGTTTTGTTTTTTTTTTTTGAGACAGAGTCTCACTTTGTTGTCCAGGCTAGAGTGCCTAGCTCACAGCAACCTCAAACTCCTGGGCTCGAGTGATCCTTCTGCCTCAGCCTCCCGAGTAGCTGGGACTACAGGCATGCGCCACTATGCCCGGCTAATTTTTTTTATATATATATATCAGTTGTTCAATTAATTTCTTTCTGTTTATAGTAGAGACGGGGTCTCGCTCTTGCTCAGGCTGGTTTTGAACTCCTGACCTTGAGCAGTCCGCCCGCCTCGGCCTCCCAAGAGCTAGGATTACAGGCGTGAGCCACAGCGCCCGGCCAGGACTTAAATTCTTGAATAGGGAAGGAGGCTATGAAAACTATTATTCCTCAATTCTCAGTGAGTGTCCTTTTCTTCCAGAATCCTCTTGTAAAACCTTTTTCTCCTAAGTTGTCCTTTCCATAGCTAACCAGTATTTTGAAAATTTTGGATTCTTGGAAAGTATCCTGTTTTAATTAAAAACAGCCTGATGATGACAGTAGATCTTCCTCTCATGTACCCTAGAAAGAGAATGTTGGGTTAGTCATTGGGCTATTGTCTCTTATCTTGCTAACCTGCTCCTTTATACTCTGCTTTGTGATGTTGAACTGGAAATCCATACCAGGGGTTGCCAAACTTTTTCTGTAAAGGGCCAGGCTAGATAGTTAAATATTTTATGATCTCTATTGGATATTTTTTTTCCTGTATTTTTTTTTTTTTACAACTCTTTAAAAATGTAAAAACTATCCTTAGCTCACAATTCATAAAAAAGCAGACTGCTGGTTGTGATTAGCCCATAGGGTATAATTTGCCAACCCCTGCCCTAACATTTGTCCTTTGCCAAATGCTTGTTTTCTGCCAATAGGGGACATTAGAGAAATTAAAAGGCCTGAACAGTGAGAATGGACTTGATTTTTCCCTTATTATTCCCTATTTCTGTCATCATCATCATCATCTGATCTGCATGCTTTTTTTTTTTTCTAATACCCTGGCAGAAACAAATGGTTCCAATTTCTAGTTGTTTTTTCCCCTCACATCCCTGTAACCAACCACATGGTGTTCAAAATCAAAATAGCAGACCTTACTGGCCAGTGCTTCCTCACAAAGATCTGGATCCCAACTCTACAGGGGCCCTTTTTTAAGCTTTTACATTCTAATAAGTCCGCCTCTTTCCTTTGTCACCTCAAGCCCTAGGGATAACTCTTTCCTAACTCTTGGTGTTACCTTGGTGTTTCCCTTTGGCCTTTCAAGTCCTTTAATACACATTGAACAAGTACCCTATATTATATTCTCTCTGTTGAAATACCTTGTGTGATTTCTATCTTCCTGATTGTACTCTGGCCTTTAAAGCTATATAGGTGAGTTCGTGGAAACTAATTTCATGCGACAATCATCCGAGACCTAATTAGAGCTCACTTAACATTCTAAGGACTTTAAATGTTGTGTAACAAAACCAATCTTTTTTTTGTCATCAATATTACAATGAAAGGAAGTTGAAGGAAATGACATTATTGGAGGACCTGCTGCTGTCCTACGTCCTTTTGATTAAAGTCAGTTTATAGGAACCTATTAACGATGTTAGAGAGATTAAATGGTTTGTGTCCTTAAGATGTCACATCTAAACCTTTCTTCCCCTCTTAAGTCCATTTTACTTTCTTTTAAAGTGTCAAGTTTCCTCAGTTTGTTGGTATAAGAGTTTTTATGGGTTGTAGACTATGGAAGGTAGATTAGTTAATGGTAATTTCTGTGTAGGTTTATTATCTCTGGATTATTTTTGAACTTTACTCACTTTTTGAACTTCTCTCTTTTATAGCTTGAAACTATATTCATCATGCTTTTTCTTCCCAATGGACATTTCCTATCTTTCTTAGTATCATATATTTAATTTTAATGTGATATTAAATAATTTAAGTAACTCTAATTGGAATAACTCTCTTTATTTCTTCTTCAGGACACAGCCAGTGTGAAGTCCTCTAGTAGTCTGGAACCTAATCTTTTTTGTGATGAAGAGATTCCCATCAAATCTGAGGAGGTAGTAACTCACATGTGGACAGCACCTTCATTCTGTGCAGAACATGCTTATTCTTCTGCTTCTAAGAGTTGTTCTCAAGGTATTACCCTTTTTTAAAAATGCGGGAAAGATAAGTCTTAAAATTAGTGAGAAAAATTACATTGAGCTATTAATCTCTATTGAATTGAACAGAATGACTGGCCATGAAATGCTAATGGAACCCGAAAATGCTATTTTTGTTAGGAAAAGTCAATCTCTGTTAGTATTTTATATCATCAGATGATAATCCAAAAATTTGCATAGAATTATAAGAGGCCTAATTTGAAGAATTTTAGAGGCCCGGCGTCTCAGTTCTATAAAATCCCTAATAGGTAGTCTTCTATCCTCTTTGCCAGTTATTAAGGAACTTGCTGCTGTTTAAGAATGTTCATTCTGGTTTGGGGTAGCTTTGTTAGAATGTTCTTCCTTTCTTTGCAGTGTGATTTCTCTATGATGTTTACTTTTCTTTTCCCCAGTGAAAATAAATCTGACTGCTATAGGTCACAGCTTTGAAGATGGAAGTTGTTTATTTCTTTGTAATAAAGGTTTTATGGGACACCATATTGTTGTCTGTTCATTAGGAAGATAATCATTTATTTATATAGGGCAACTAAATGCTTAATCTTTTGGCATTGTCTAAAATGGAGAGAACGTGGGTTAAGAGACTCTGGTCCTCCCTTGCCACAAGATAAAGAATCAATAGGGATAAACAATCAGGAAAAGAACCAATTTTTAACACTAAGGCAATTTTTTAGAGTGAGTCTTGGGATCCTAGATCTTTTTGTTTTGTATTTATTTTTACTTTCATTTATGTTTTTATACTAATGTAATGAATTGAGTTATCTGAAGTCAGTTTTGGGGGAGGTCAGACCATTCTTCTAAATATTTACACTTTTTGTATAGCTTTTGTTTTTTTGTTTTGTTTTATTATATTTTTTGGGAAAGGTTCTAACACCCCAAGGAAACAACCTCGGAAGAGCCCTTTGGTGCCTCGTAGTTTGGAACCTCCAGTGTTGGAGTTGTCACCTGGAGCCAAGGCCCAGTTGGAAGAACTTATGATGGTTGGAGATCTCCTGGAAGTATCTCTGGATGAGACTCAACACATATGGCGTATTTTGCAGGCTACACACCCACCCTCTGAAGACAGATTCCTGCATATCTTGGAGGTGTGGTTTTAAAGATTACTTGAACAATGGTTTAAAACTATTAGAATATTTAGAATGCCAAGTTCCTTATAGGTACCACAGATGTTGGCAAGGAGATGGCTGAGTGGGCAATAATCTGGCTGTCCTACTTTCTCACTTAAGCCAAAGAAATTCTGCTTTATGGTTTTCTTTATTGAGCTTTTATGTAATATTTAATTTGAAAACAAAAAGAAGCACAGGGATAGTTAAATAGAAGTGGATGAGGTGGCAGGGAAAGTCTACATTCATATATCACACTTGCAGAGCAGTTTGTACTTCATACTATGTTTTTATTTTTATAACCATGATCTTATTTGATCCTAACCATAATCCTGAAGGGGGGAGGGTGATAGGGGAAAGACCAGTAAGGCAAACATTTACCCTGTTCTGCATATGAAGAAATTAAGGATCAGAAAATTAAGGTCACACATCTAGTGAAAATAAAAAGACCTGGATTCTAACTCTGGCATCTGACTGCTAGTATTCTTTTCATTAGCTTCCTTGTTTCTATGTGATGAAATGGTACCAATATCACTAGTAATTGGTACAAGTACATTTAGCACACCATAGTTTCTTTGTGATTTGGAAGTCAGATCTTAAGTAGCTTAATTTAGATAGTGTTTTCCAGTCTACAGAACATTTTCTTCACAACCATGATGTCATCCAGTTCTCTTTATTACATATAAGGAGGCACAAAGTATAAAGACGTTAAATATCTTGTTCAAGATGTAATAGAGTTAAGACATTTATAATCCAATGTTCTTTTGGATTCTTCTGATTTTTAGGTTCCTGTCAAAGATCTCAAGTCTCAAATCTGCAAGAAAATGAATCCTCAAATGTTTTTTCTTATACTCTCTCCCTCCATTCTTTTCTGTTACATGATATACTTTTACCATTAGAATTTTAAATGTTTATTACATTGGCACATAATAGTAACAATATTAGAAAGTTGAAAAGAAAAATCACACTATTTTTTGCTTTGTCACATGAAATATTTTCTAGCCATTGCCAGAGTTACTGCATACCCTTTGTAATGAAATCATGGATATAATTTTATGTTTCCTGATATTTTTGATAAGTTTTTATTACTAAGAATTTTATTAATTGAGTTAATAAAGAATTATTTTTTTTGAGACAGAGTCTCACTCTCTTGCCTGGGCTAGAGTGCTGTGGCGTCAGCCTAATTTCCAGCAACCTCATACTCCTGGGCTCAAGCAATCTTCCTGCCTCAGCCTCCCGGGTAGCTGGGACTACAGGCATGCGCCACTGTGCCTGGCTAATTTTTTCTATTTTTAGTTGTTTGACTAATTTCTTTCTATTTATAGTAGAGACGGAGTCTTGCTCCTGCTCAGGCTGGTCTCGAACTCCTGAGTTTAAGCAGTCCTCCTGCCTCCGCCTCCCAGAGTGCTAAGATTACAGGTGTGAGCCACCACGCCCCAGCCAATAAAGAATTTTAGTAATGGTAAATGAAGACTAAAAAAGTTACTACATTTAGTACAGTTAGGTTTCTGTGTATGTTTTCCTCTGTAACAGAGCTACTATAGACTGTATTAACATATGCTAATACTGAACCTTTTTTTGCTTTTTTTCCCCTGGTGAGCTAAAAATAAGTCAAAACATTTTATTTCAGGCTTGTCATTATTTTTTACTATTGTGTCATCTTCATTGAATATTATATTTGTCTTCTTAAAATATCTTTTAAATATCTTTAGAATAATACCATTTTTTGGTCTTATTATGACATTAATATACATGACATAAAATTTACCATTTTAACCCTTTTTAGGTGGACAATTCAGTTGCATTAAGTATATTCACAGTGTTATGCAACCATATCCTCTTCCAGAACTTTTAGTCAGCCCAAACAGAAACTCTATACCCACTAAATAATAAGTCTTCATTTTCTCCTCCCTCAGCCTCTGGTAACCTCTATTTTACTTTTTTATCTGTGTAAATTTGTCTATTCTAGGTGCCATATAAGAGAATAATAGTGCTTATAAATGTCTTGCTTTAAAATCATTCCTATTTTTATAACTTTGAAGGATGATGGCTTGGATGAGAAACCACTAAAAATGAAAGGAAAGGACTCTTCAGAGAAGAAACGGAAACGAAAACTAGAAAAGGTAGAACAACTTTTTGGAGAAGGAAAACAGAAGTCCAAGGAGTTAAAGAAAATGGACAAACCTAAAAAGAAGAAATTAAAATTGAGTGCAGACAAATCAAGAGAGCTGAACAAATTGGCCAAGAAACTAGCAAAAGAAGAAGAGAGAAAGAAGAAAAAGGAGAAGGCTGCTGCAGCCAAAGTTGAACTTGTGAAAGAGAATACTGAGAAGAAAAGAGAGAAAAAAGTACTGGACATCCCTTCAAAGTATGACTGGTCAGGAGCAGAGGAATCTGATGATGAGAATGCCGTATGTGCAGCACAAAACTGCCAAAGGCCCTGCAAGGACAAGGTGAGTTCCAGTTATTTATGGTCAAACATGAGCAAGGTCAAGGAACAATAGTCATAGGGACATATGTTTGATATGATGATAGTATGTTTTTGATTCCAGGATTTGGACTTCCAACATAGTATGTTTTCTACAGTTTTTATAAACTATTTTGAATAATCAGGCTCCTATCTTAGTGTGTGTAGTCGGAGAAATACTATATTTAAAAACTATATAGTTAGTGAACATAATGAAACAAGAGCATAGAGAAGCTGTGTGACAACCCCTGGCAAATGGTGCATTTCATGTGCAGTGGGCATAACAAATTTCAAAATAGTCTTATGCCTTCTCTGTAAAGGGTGGCTCAGAGAATTAAATACCTTGTCAATAGCCACAGTGGCCTGAAAAAATCATGGGCCAGTATTATAAGAGCTATGGCAAATTGCTTTAAGATTGTGTTCCAAAGACCTGTAACTTTTGGTCTATGTCTTACACTCAGGCCTATGTTCAGTCTCCTAAATGGAATATGACTTTTTTCACATCTTTGTGACAAATAATTCAGAATTATTTGAGAATTATGAGAAAATTAGCTCAGTGAGGAAAAAGGTATTATTTATAATTTTTCAACTCCCAATTTTAAGTATAGTAATTCTGTGATGGCCATTCTTTACATAATATTGATGATAACTTCTAAGAAAAATGAGCAGACTTTATGAAAAATCCTCTTTCTTTAAATAATTAGAGCCATCTATTATGGTTCCCATAAGGAATATTGATAAATTTATAGTCTTAATTTTATTTATTTTCATAATACCATTTGACATTTTGCATTCTGATAGTTCTCCAACTTAAAAATATGAACAGAATAAATAAAACTGCATTACTAATCCCTATAGGTTATGCCCTTACTTGTCTCTTCAATGAAATACTTATATACATTTTTTAGATCTTGAAGGGACCCAGAGGTCACCTTGTTCAGGCTCCTCTTTTTACACATGATTGAAACTGGGATTCAGTGAAGTTTATAATGTGACCAAAGTCACAGAGATAATTAGTGGCAAAATCAAAAGTAGAACCCTGGTTTCTGGCTCCCAGCCTCCCAGACCAAGTTCTCTCCACTAATATCCCTACTCCACCAATAATTGAGATGTAAGTACAAGAACACATTCCAAAACTGAATGATACTTATATTTAAATTAGACTTATTAGGGATATTCCATTCTATTTTTGGAAACAAATATGTATTAAAATATATATCCCATTATCTGTAATCTTCCAAAATTGACAGCTGTAAATACTTTAGTGTTTCCTTCCCATCCTCCTCCTATTATATAGTTTGTTTTATATTGTTGTTATATTCTTTTTTCACTTTGTATCTTTATTAGTTTCATAAACATTGTCCTATATTATAAACATTTAAAATGTTTTAGAAAATATGTATGTGCATATTATTTTTATCTTTCATTTTGAATTTATTCCCACCTGAATTTATTTGTTAAAGAGGCTGATGGAGGATTAACTGTTTCTATTTGAGTATCCAAAGTCTTAACAGCTCAGTGTTGGCAGAATGTTCTCCCTTTTCTTTCTCCTTTTAACTAATTTTATGGCTGTTTTAAGATTAGCGGTAAGGTATGGTTTTTGTTTTGTTTTTAACCTTTTCTGTCATCCTTCGTATGTTTATAGCCATCATGGACCTTTTTATCTTCTCTTTTTTCTCCTTTTCTCTTTATCACTCCATCTTTCCCCTTCTGCTCAGCATTTAAATGATTAAGTTCATCTATTATTATTGTTGTCTTCCTGTAGCATGTAAATACTACAGGTAATTTTTAAGAAAATTTCCTGTAAATTTGTTAAATTAACACACATCCTGGTTAATCAAGAGGCTATGAAAAAAAAAAAGAGGCTATGAGTATGAGGTAAAATGATCTCTGTGCACTTGTTAACTGAAAATGCTATATAAGTGTAGTTTTACTAAGTAAAAGGTATATTTCTATAAAAGATTTTCTGAAGAATGTTATAGGTTTCTCAATCTTTAGTGTTTCTCCAAGAAAACCTAATTAATGCATGGCACACATCTTTAGAACAAAATGATAAGAAAAGAATGCTTTTGGTGGGCCCAGTGGCACACTCCTGTAGTCCCAGCTACTCAAGAAGCTGAGGCAGGATGATTTCTTGAGCTCAGAAGTTCAAGGCCAATGCACTATAATTACATCTATGAATAGCCACTGTACTCCAAGCCTGGGCAGCATAGTGAGACCCTGCCCCAAAAAGAAAAAAGAATACTTTTTAAGCAGTGTGTTCTTTGAAATACTATGCAGCAAAAAAACAGTGTCTAGGGTTCATTTCCTTTTAGGTAAATTATCTAACCAGTAATTACTAGTATTTCTCTAACCAGTGTAATTACTGTCACTTTTCCCCAAAATTGCAGGGATTGAGAAATATTCTTTTAGAAATTAGATGAATGAATACTTAAATATACCTAGCTTCAATTTCAAGATGTTTTAGGAAAAGATAATACCAGAATAATGTAGAAGATTTTTTTTAAAAAAACTATCTCTTCCATCAATTATCAAATTTTCAAACTGAAATTAATAATAGTAAAGAAGGCTGGGTGAGGTGGCTCACACCTGTAATCTTAGCTCTCTGGGAAGCTAAGGTGGGAGGATGGCTTGAGCCCAGAAGTTTGAGTTTGAGGTTGCAGTGAGCTGTAGTGATGCCACTGCACTCTAGCCAGGTGACAAAGTGAGACTGTGTCTCAAAAAAATAAATAAATAGGAGATATTTTCAAAACATTACTGTTAAAGTTCAGAATCTTTTTCTTTCTGAATTATGCCTCTTTATTCAATCTCACTGGTACCAAGACTAAAACAAGTTAACTTGAAAGAACAAGTTATTTCAGGCTAATATTTAAATAACATTTTTTCTGTATTAGAATAAATATTTAATCCTTTTGCTTATGAAAATAGCTTTTCCCCCCTCTTTAAAAGGCTTTTTTTATAAAAACATCTTACCTTGGGTCTTTTCCTTACCTGTTACTACTTTCATAAGAACTTTGGCATGGTAGGTTAGAGATTAAGCTTATAGATTTATGCTTCTCACTTTTACTATTGTTACCCAGTCTGATTTTTAAAAATTTTCATGGGCATGTTGTGTCTATCAAAGTATTTGCATTTTTGGTGGCTTTACCACTTCATATCTCCTTTTAGCATAGATAATCAAAGGTTGGATTGCCTAAATGTGTGTAATGCACACACACAGACATATAATGGTGAAGTTGAGATAGAATAGTTTTAGCACTGAAATTCCCACATACTGAGAAATGTGTCATTCCTGGGCAGCTGGGAGTGTTGGTTACTTAATGTTGAGAGCAACAAAAAAATATACAGGAGGATTCTGAACATATATTACATACTTCACTAAGTGAATTGCTTTCATTTTTCAAATCTGGACTAAGTGCAAAAGATGTTAAATGCAAAAATAAAAAAAGCTAAGCTGAGCAAGTAAGCTAAAAATATCACTAAATCACCAGGGTTTTTTCCCCCTAGTACAGTTACATGCTTTAAGAAATAATATACTCTGCCAAGTATTTTTTTCTTAAGAAACCATATAGCAGAACAATGAATGTGAAATTAATATTATTTCCTTTATTTAATATATTTCTCTTTAAAGAGACATTTTCCCCAGATTTGAAATAGTAGTCTATTTTTACTATAATAATAATAAATTTCTAGGCTGGGCCCAGTGGTTCATGCCTATAATCCTAGCACTCTGGGAGGCCAAGGTAGGAGGATCGATCGCTTGAACTCAGGAGTTCGAGACCAGGCTGATCAAGAGTGAGACCCCATTTCTACTAAAAATAGAAAAATTAGTGGGTGTTGTGGTTTGTGTCTATAGTCTTAGCTACTTGGGAGGCTGAGGCAGGAGGATTGCTTGAGCCCAGGAGTTTGAAGTTGCTGTGAGCTATGATGACAACACTGAACTTTGAATGGGGTGATAGAGTGAGACTCTGTCTCAAAATAAATAAAATAAATAAGTTCATTCTATCAGTTAATTATTTGAACAGCTGTGAAATTTTTTTACTAATTATTTTTGTGTGTATTGCTAGAAACAGAAATAATGAAAGAGGAAATGACTATTTGGACTTAATATGCAATTAGCCAAATTCTGTGTTCTTGAGTTTTCAGGCGAGTCTGTTGCTCCTGTGTCAGAATCTTCTGTGGATTCAGTTGGTACTCCAAAGTTTGCTGTGTGACCCCATGGGCCTTCCAAACAAAGTGAAACTTTAGTTTGATTGTTAATAGATGAACATAATAAAATATTGGTCAGCTGCCCACTGCTAAATTTGACTGGCTTAAAAAAAAAAAAAAAGATTATTGGTAAGAGACTATTTTTTCCTTGCCATTTTTTCAGGGTAAATTGTTATGTAACCTGTAGGCTGAGGTAGAATCTGTATACTGGTGACTATCTCAAGGAAAGTTATATACTCTTTTGAAAGTATATAACTAATAGGCTTAGGAAGAAACCTCTAGTCAAAATCACAAAAAGGAAACTATTGTGTTATTTGCAAGAGAGTGATAGATTTAGTTTTTGGAAATTGTAAGCCAGTGAGTATAGTGAAAGTTAGATTTAAAAAGACTTGGGACAATTTTCTTGATAGCAAATCCTGATATCCTATGGATTAACATGAATGGGGACTGGACTGGAGTAAAAGGATTCAAAAGTAGGGTATCTATTATTTAAGTGGTAGCATTATAAATAGCATAATATCTTAAACCTTAACAGCCCAAAGAACCACAGTTTATTTTTCCAGTTTCTGTTATCAGCTCCAGACAGCCAAAACACTTGTCCTGAGTGTACCTACTACACATTAGTACTTTATAAATCTTCACCTGCTTACAATACTTTTATTTTTACTTTTTGCACAGAAGCCATTATTTCCCTTGTCTCTGATTATTTTACCACAACAGGAACATTTTGAGCATTTATTTTCTTTACTGCACAGTCTTCAGAAACTAAACATACAATTACAGAACAAAAACATAAGTCAGTTTAGGAAGGAATTGTTAAGTTGCTCTGAATTCACAGAAAGTGATATCACAAAGGGCCATTGATGATCAAATTTAGAATATATAAGAATCACTTGGGAGCTGATTAAAAATGTAATCTTGCTTGGTACTTTATTATGCTAAAGAAAAGTAATCTTCTGGTTTGTACCCGAAGATATTCTGAGTTCATAGTTTGGGATGGGTCCCAGCTACATGTTTAACAAACACAACAGGTGATTCTGATGCAAGTGGTCTATACACTCTGAGAAGCAGTGCTGCAGGCAGTTATATCAGGGTGCAAGATGTTTTGTATAAAGTAGGATAATGTGAGTAGAACTATTAGACTGTGAGTTTAAAAAGTGCATCCAGTATCCCAGGCAGTGAACTAGGTGTTTTGCCATACATGATTTCATTGGATCCTCTCAGTAATCTTGTAATTAATGTTATCTCTATTTTACAGATGAGGAAATTGAGCCTCAGTGAAATTAAATGACTTGCCTGAAGTTATATACACCAGAACACAGAACTTCTGAGTTTAGTAATCTTTATATTAAATAACATTGCCTCTTAGGATCTAGAACTGTAGAATAGGATCAATAAAAGCAAAAAGATTACTTTGACAAATTATTTTTCCCATCCTTTATTATAGCCTAAAACCACTGACATGACTGTCATGTCTGTCCCTCCCCCAGCCCTCAGGATAAGGACTAGAGAATGACTATCGTGAATTTGATACTTTTTATAGAGCATGGAAGCTAGTTTTGAAAACTACTACTCACTTTCTCTGAATGAAACTCACGTACCTAGCCAAAACCTTCTTTCTCTGTTCTTTCTCAAGATACATTGAATTACTTCTTTGATCCCTTCATACTCCTTACTTTGATATCTGGTAAACCTCATGGTTTTAAGTGGCTTCCTATGTTGCTAATGAAATGATCAACCTTTGTATTGGGGTGAGGGAGAGTAGCTCTTTTCATCTTAAAGGTGCTGTGACATTAGCTCTAAAAACTACCACAATCAGCCTCCAGATGTAAAAGCCAAAAGTCACTTTATTTTTAATCTAGGTCCAAGGCTTAAAATCACCAAACTGCAGTCCCTTCCTAAGTCTCCTATAATCAGTATTCTATGAAGGGTCAGAGTTTGCTTGGCACCTACCACTGATCTATCAGTTTTCCAGACTTTAATTTTTAACTCCAGAGTGATCTATTGACCTGTGTCTTTGACTGTTATAATTGGTTAATTTGTAAGATTTGACATCTGATATTTGCTAACTTTTTATAGGGAGTTGTATTTGTAACGGAAGAAGAGAAGAATAAAAAATATTAGTTTAAAAAGTGGCCTATGTGACTGCTTTTCTAAAAAGGTATTTAATGCTCTTAGTACTTTGGCTTATCTCTTTGAAATAAAGCTAATGCACAGGATTGCCTTCACATTGTTGTACTCTTATTTTCTTGATTGATAATTGCATTGTCTTAGAGCCTAGAAATTGTTAATATTAGTTAAAACTACTTGACTGCTCTATTAGAAGTTCCTTTTTTGTCAAGTTTTTCTCAAACATGTTTCTGCCTCACAAGGAGCCCCAGGTATTCATGAGGTAATGGAGTACCTAAGAGGCCTAATTTTGTGGACACACAATGGTAAAATATAATTTTGGGGTATTAACTTCTCAGCTTCTTTCTTTAAAAAATAACCCCATAAGAAGTCATTGTCTGTCTCTGGACATGCCAGTTGTTTGCTATCATTTAAGCCAAGAAAGCTCTTTGGTTTGTTTTTATTCTAGGTTTAATGTTTATGTAACCTAAACATTCCCCAATCTTGTCTCCTACAGGTAGACTGGGTACAGTGTGATGGTGGCTGTGATGAATGGTTTCATCAAGTTTGTGTGGGTGTATCTCCAGAAATGGCCGAAAATGAAGATTACATCTGTATAAACTGTGCAAAGAAGCAGGGGCCAGATAGCCCAGGTCAAGCACCACCTACTTCCTTCATAATGAGCTACAAACTACCAATGGAGGATCTTAAAGAGACCAGTTAGCAGCTTGGTTAATTTGGGACATGGGGGGAAATGGACCACATTGAGACCTTAGTCATCAAGTAGAATGGTTTAGATCCACTCAGAATGTTGCTTCCAAAGCTGAATGGCCTTTCAGAGAAAATGATTTTAGTGTTGGCTTCTTCTTTGTTTGGACCTTGTGGGCTACATTTTCCATCAGTAGATCCATGCAGAGGGTATCTTCTTTGGTACAGCAGCCAATATTTCAACTTGTGTCTCCTTTGAATGTGGTTTACTGCAGTAAGGTCAGATACTTGATTGAGCTCTAGGATGGCTAGTTGGCATTAATACATTGGTATGCTAACAGGGTGCAGAGGATGTGGCTTATGTCCAGTTGGTATTAGTTAGAGGCTTTACAACCTAGGGGCAGCACTGTCTGAAGGTGCCAATTGCTTGGGTTTCCTTAGTTGATTTAATTGAAGAGGAGTCAGAGAACCACTTTCCTTTCTCTGTCACTTGGCATTTAATGCCCTACAGATACAACTAGGAGGATCAAGGCCAAAGTTATTTCTGTTAGAAATCAAAGGATAGTGGGCACAGTCTGTAGATCTCAGCTACATATGCTTTTTGTACCAAGAAGAAAAACTCCAAATAAGAGAACATATCTCTATCTGGGGCAGATCACCTTATCTTTATAAGGAGGAGGATATCATCTGGTTCAGAGATCTTACTAGATGGGATTCTGGGAAGAAGAGCTTATTTCAAGACAAGGAGCCAGCTCACCCCCCCCCCCCCCGCCTTTTTTTTGACAATTTAGAGAAGAACAGGTACATGCATATTCAGGCTTCTGCCAAAAAACACAAAACAAACCAGTCAGAATATCTTACTGAGCCACAGTGATGCATGCTTTTTGGGGAAACCTTCATTCACAAGTATTCCAGATGCCAAGCTTCAGGCATGGCCATGAGCAAGACCAGCAAATAATAGCTTTTGCTTTGCAGCCCTGACCCCAGTGTCTGCCATTTCCAACACTGGCAGTTTCTGAATATGGCTTACAGCAGATGCTGTTGAATAACACCATGGCTTCATCAAAGGATGCAGGGTTGTAGTACCTCTGGGTGATGAATTGTTTTAGTAAATCATTTTTAAAAAGGAAAAAAAAAAGGACTTGTTTTTACTTTTTTCTAAATGTCTCTGACTACTGACTGTTCTATAAATAGATTATTTTTCCTTTTTTAATATACATATATGAATATATAAATATATATATTTACTGTTACCAGCAGCATATGACAAAAGTTTCAGCATCAAAAATCCATTTGAGGGCTTGCTTTTTCTTTTTTGCTTTTTAATAAAGAAGTTCTATTCCTTCCTTGTAGTACAAGGAGTTAGCACTCCCTTTCCATCCTAGCCTGACCAGATCTTTCATTTTGCTTTTGTTCATATAGATAATTATATTTACTTTGTGTGTTGGGACTTGTCCCTGTCTGTTGGGAAACTTGGTCTTACTCTAGTCTGTGCTGGCTGTTTTTTCTTTAGTATGTGAATGTTTGAAACTATGGTGCTGTGTCCTCTTCCCTCCTGTTGTGTTCTCTGTTCTTGTTAAATAGGTATTAGGTAAGCTGTATGTAAACTCTTATTAGAAGGGGACGGATTGATTTTTTTTTTTTAAGGACAAAAACATTTTACTAAAAATAGTGTTTTGTCTTCACTGTGCTGTGTGTCTTTATTTTGGGTTAAAAATCTGTGGTTTGACTTAAATTCATCAGTTTTCCTTTTAAAGGGGGGAATGGGGTGGACCTAGCAACAACTTACAGTCTCCTCTTCCCTTTTTGCCTCAGTCTATTTTAATTAAAGAAATGTCTTCTAGTAACTAGAAGTGAAATGTACTGTCCAGTTACAGTTTGAGTGGGTATGAGATTTAACTCAAAAGGCATCTTAAAAAATAAAAAGAAAACCCTTTCTTATAAAATCCATTTTCTGTAAATGTTCTCTATGGTTCTTACTACCTATCTTTTTAAGTCACTCTTCCCTTAATGTTAATATTGTAACATTTTACGTGTTTTCATCTGTTCAGAGTTTTGTTAAGTGTTACTGTACATGTGTCTTGAGATCTCAAGTAAGTGTGTGTATGATGTAAGATTTCAATGGATATTGTAAGGTAATTAACCAATTTCATAAGTTTTCATTTTGCCAAACTATACAAAGACTATCAATTAAGAATTTCATTTGGTTGACATTATACAAGAAAGCACAATATATTTTGCCTTTTGGTCTTCTTTGTAAAAGTCTTCAAATATTTGTGGGTTAAAAGTTGAATGTAATTTTAAGTGATAGGTGCCTGAATACATTAAAAAATTTTATTTTTTCTTCCCAATCATCCATTAACTATTCCACCATTGGGGGAGAGTCATGAAAATGCTGAGAAAATACGGCTAGCTTCCTGTTATCCTCTGACATTTTGAAACTTTAAATATATCATTAAACTGATTCTGTGGGATTTTTTTTTTTTTTTTTTTGTATTTATTTGAAAGTCATGGGTGATTTGGTCTGACTTGATCACAGATTTAGACCAAGGCTGGGAAGAACAGAAGAAATTACTGGCCACACAAACAAAAATATACAAATCTGCAATTTTGGAATTAATAAAATAAGATTCTTTAAAGAAATGTTGGTGTTCTAATATAAAGTATTATTTTCACTTAGAGGAAGTTACTTGTTTACAGCTTACTCCATTCTGTATTGTAACATTTTGTATTAAAACTTGCTTTAAAAATGTTTCTCTACACTTCTATCTCCTTAAAGTTGTGATTCTTCATTAGTATTTTAGCTTAGGTGTTTAATTCTTACAAAGGTATTTCTCACTGCCTTTATTATAAATTATTTTGGCAAAGGTTATAGATAGAGAAATGAAAAAAAAGGGTAGGTCTTTGATATTGGTAAAGGGTAAGTCATTAGAATTATGCAACCCTCCCAGTTTAGAAGTACAAGTATAGCTTTAGAAGTTAGCTTTCTAGTTGGAGCAGGGGGAGTTGTGGAGGGGACATTTTCCTCCCACAAATGTTTATTTCACTTCTTGATAATTACTGGACAAAGCCATGTTAACATGTAGATGCTGAGCTCCTTCACTAAGTTGCTGCAAACAGCTTTTCCTGCATGATTCACATTTGTGCCTCAGTAAAATTACAAATTATTGCATGTCATACTTTGAATAATTGAAAATGCGAACATTAAACATTAAATCATTTGCCCATAATCAATAATACTAAACAAAACCATGGCAACCTCCACAGACCTGTAAGATGAGCATGATTTTACCTATGCTCTGTTTCTACTCTTCTTTTGTCTTTAACAGATGTCCAAGAAATGTTAGTTCATTTGTTTTTCTTAATTTTTAGATTCTAGATCAGTTCATTCCATGCACATAAACTCCCTGCTTGTCAATATTTTGATTTTATAGTACACTGTGTGACTATCAGCCAGTACTAAAATTAGTAGGAGGATGAAAGGAAAAATTGAGAAAGCCTCTCTTTCAAAGGATGGGGGTTATCCTTTTTTTAAAGGAGAAAGTGATGATTCGGAGTAGGATTTGAAAATTGTAAATTGTGGAAAAATTGAGCTGTGGAAGTCCCACATATAACCAGGTTCAATAAAGTTTCACATGTGAATTAGTTTCATATGTGTGCAGAAAGTTGTTTTTGCACTAGGGCCTTAAATATTCCTTTTGAAGTCCCCCCCCCTTTTTATTAAAGCATACCATTATTTTTTGGATGTGGATGTGTGAAGTAGTAGTCATAGTATGAGAGGGAAGGAATGGATGTAAATATATTTTTAGAATTTCGAAGTTGTCTTTGCCTGGATCATATCCAGTCACCACTATGCAACAAAAGGTGTACACAGGGAAGGGATATGATGGGGTTTTTTTTGTTTGTTTGTTTTGTTTTGAGACAGAGTCTCACTTTGTTGCCCAGGCTAGAGTGAGTGCCGTGGCGTCAGCCTAGCTCACAGCAACCTCAAACTCCTGGGCTCAAGGTATCCTGCTGCCTCAGCCTCCCGAGTAGCTTGGACTACAGGCATGTGCCACCATGCCCGGCTAATTTTTTCTATATATATTAGTTGGCCAATTAATTTCTTTCTATTTATAGTAGAGACGGGGTCTCGCTCTTGCTCAGGCTGGTTTTGAACTCCTGACCTTGAGTAATCCGCCCGCCTCGGCCTCCGAGAGTGCTAGGGTTACAGGTGTGAGCCATCGCGCCCAGTGGGATATGATGGTTTTTTAAAGATGTATCCTGCTTGTTCCATTGCAGTACCCTCTATTCTCTATGCCTTCTGGGCATTGTCTTGTAAACTTGACCCTCCCCCCCTTGATTTATTTGTTTTCATATTTATTTACAATTTACTAGGGTTATTGGTGGTGCCTTAGGTAACTTGATTTGTGAGCGTGTTTTGTGTGTTCTTTTTTTCTGAAAGAATGTTAGATATGGTTAATTGCATTACACCTAAAAAGTAAAAATTGTGTATGCTTAGGTTCCCCACCCCTATACCCTGTCATTTATGTTGGTGACAACTTTCAGTGGTAACCAAGTGAAGTTACATTTTGGTAATGATAACTGATAATCCTGAGGAAAACTAGCCAAGTATATGGGAGCCACTTTTAACCTGTGCCAAAGCAGTTTCTAATATTTCATTTTTTAACTGTAAAATAAAGATCTGAGCTGAAATAATTTGATCAGTAGTGTGATTGGCCTATTATCATTGCTGAGAATAGTATTTTTAGAAAGTGTGATGTGAAAGAAGGGATTCCTGGTGATTTCACCTGCCTTCTATTTTCAGCAAGAATCTAGTGATGACCAGCATGTTCCCCATGCTGGGAGGTTCATCCCTTTACAGCAAACCAGTGACAGGGAAAACCAGGAAATGATTTCCTTTTTCTTTGGCTTCATAATGTTCAGAACTAATTCAAACCCTAGGTTACTTCTGAAAAGTAAATGGCACTTTTTTCCATATAGAATACCAAGTTATGCAGGTGTGGACACATCATTGTTGAAAATGTTATGGTTCTGCTTGCAGTAAAATTGGCCACAGTTTGCTGAAGCATGTGACTGCGTGTTGGGAGGAAAGTTGGTGGAAAATGGGAAGAAAAATGTATTTATTGGAAAATAATTTTCTTGCCAACAGCATACTTGAAGTTTCTTAAGGTGACATCCTTTTTTGAATTTGTGTAGGGCTTTCCCATTTAGATCAAGTATTTCTTGGGGCCTTGTCATTGTGGTTGGTACCAATAAATGTAAGATCCAGAATTTCTTCATGTAGAGCTTAACCATTAACTGGAACACAATAAAATGTTTAACACATAAAAGCAGAGAACAGTACAACAGAATATAATCAAATACTGTGTTATATGAATAAGAATGATTTTGGAATTTCTTGACATTTCTCACTTCTTACCTATTTGCTCCTTCTTGCCAGGCCATTTCCTGTTCTGAATTGGTCCCTGGCCCCAGGCATCTGCGTCACTTCCCCAGTCAGAACATGGGCTCCTTCCCTCCCCATACCATGCTGCTCTGCTGAAACCAGCAGGCCACCTGGGCACTGGCAGTTTTAATCTTTCTGGCCTTGCCTTAACCATCCTCTCTGATTGGGGTTCAGCTTTGTTGAGACTAAAAACACTTATCACTAGTATTCTTTTTGGAACCTAGAGCAAAAATTCAAGCATATTTAGCCTTCGTCACTGCCCAGCTTGTTTATTTTGTCATAGAAGCATCTTACTCCAGAGTTCTGTTGGAACATTGAGGCTGGTTTAATTCACTTTGCTTCTCATCCTTGTAATGCATTGCTGCCATCTAAAATAGAATCTCATCCAGTCATCAGCCCTGTCTCCTATTCCCGTACTGTAAACATGCCTTCGACAATTCATCTTACTCAGCCACATTGACCTTAGGATAATTTCAAGTGGAGAGTTCATTTTCTCACTTTATTACTAGTGAATAGGTGGATTATCTGGTCTGTTGCCCATCCCTGATTGTTGCCACGGTATTTGTTCCTCCACTTTGAGCCCCTGCTATCCGGCTGTACCAGCTGTCCTCACTGTTGTTGTCTGCACTCATGGGGAACTTTGATGGTTCACGGGCACCTCCGTCTCCAGTGCTGCCATCATTCTGGGCAGTTTCATGGATCCGACCTTAATTTCTGGACCTCCATCTCCAATAGTCATTTTCACTCCATTTAGCAAACCAGTTTTAGGGTCACACCTTGGAATCCTGCCAAAAGCTTTCCTGAAATATTAAACTTTAGGATCAAATTCTCTGATTTTGATGTCTTGTCATTTGATCTCTTCCTCTCAGAATAATTAGTCTTTAAACCTAGTTTCTTAGCTACTGTTTCCTTCGGTTCATTCTGGCTTTACCCCTTTTCCATTAGCATAGGCTGTGGCCTACCCCTCTGACTTCAGAACCTTATTCTTCGGGTCATCTGACTTTGGTTTCATGGGCTGCTGGGTTGTAATGAGTGTAACCAATTGGTAGCACCACAAATTGACTCAAGTAGGTGGCTCTCAAAGCACTTCCTCTTCCATTCTTAAAGACTTTCACCTCTTTTCAGATTCACAGCCTACCACCTCTCCTACCTCAGCAGAAGCCTAGCCTCCTAATGCTGGGAAAATCGAAGCTGACAGGTGAGCTGTAAGCTTTTTCGTTAGTCATCTGTTGCCGTCAGCATCCTCATCTGTCCCAGAAGAGGCATCTGTCTCCTGGCCAACACTATGAATGCACAGGAGACTGAGCAAATCAGTGAATCCCATCCCAGCTTTAACTCCCTAAAGACCTTGTTCCACCCATCAGCCCCTCTTCTTTACCTTCAGTGTCTCCTGTACCTACCTCATTTAGCACATAAACTCAAGCTCTGTATTAATAAAGGAGAACTCAAATCTTTTTCCTATATTAATATTTTCCCTTGGACCTGTCTCCTCTATTTCCTGCTCTCTTTCAGTTGTAGCCAAACCTTGCCTGTTCCACTTCACTTTCAGTTGCTCCTCAGTCCGTTGTAATCTGGGTTGTATACTCGACATTCCACTGAGATGACTCCTACTAAAGTCATCGACGGACTCCTTATTGCTAAAGCCAGTGGACACCTCAGTTTTTACTTGATGTCTCTTCAGCATTTGACACTATGGTTTTCTCCCTTTTAAAAACTCCATTGGCTTCTTGGCCATACCTTTCCCTAATTTTTCTTCTCTCTAGCTGCTCTTTAATCAGCCTCCTTTCCTTAAAATGATGTCAGCAGGGGCGCTTCTCTATATACCATGGATGCCTTAGTCTGCTTCCAGTTACCACTTTCATCCAGATGATTCCCAAATCAGTGTCACCGGCCCATGCTTGCTTTCTGAGCTTTTTAAACAACTGGTAAACATTTCCACTTGTGTATTATTTATGTGTGTATGGAGACAGGGTCTCGCTCTGTGACCCAGCGTGGGGTGCAACCTCAAACTCCTGGGCTCTAAAGACTCTTCCTGCCTCAGCCTCCTGAGTAGCTGGGACCATAGCATGGCATAGTAGCTGTGCCACCATGCCCAGCTAATTTTTTTGGTTTTTGGAGAGATGGGATCTTCCTATGTT